ATTTAAGCAATCTCTTTTTGCTGAGCATTTGACTCTGGTTTTTCTCTAGTTTAACAAATATTTGAAATGAGCATTCTCAGAGCTAAGTTTCAGTTCACACTGGATTTTCTTAGACTAAAGTTTCTAGACATGGCCTGTTCAGGTTAGAGGATATTATGGGCTTCCAAAGTTGATAGAATTCACCAAACCATCTTCCCTAAATTTACATCTCCACTCAAAATGAGAAGGTGCCTATTTCCTGCCCACTGGCCATACTGTGAGCCATGTTTGTATTCATCCATGGTAATTTGACAGGAAAAAAAATCTGCTATTTAATATTATATTTCTTTGGATTTCTCACAGGTATAACATTTTAAAATGTGTTTAATGGTGATTTGCTTTTCTTTTGTGAGTACCCTGATTTTTGCCCCTAGCCTATTTTTCCTTTTAATAGTATTTAAAGAAAATAAATTTTGTTGCCACTGTCATTTTAAGTCTTATTTTTATATTAAGGATATGAAGCCTTTATATGCTGTCATATTCTGCAAGAATTTTTTTATTGTTTTATTATTCATATGTGCATACAATTTTGCCTTGAGTTCATTTCTCCCCCCTGCCCGCCACCCCCTTTTGCCCTTATCTCTAATTTTGTTTGAAGAGAGGTATAAGCAAATAAATAGGAAGGAAAACAAGGGTTTTTCTAGTTGAGATAAGGATAGCTGTTTTACGGGAGTTGACTCACATTAATTTCTGTTGCCGTGTGGTTACCTTCTAGGTTAATCTTTTTGATCTAACCTTTTCTCTAGTTCCTGGTCCCCTTTCTCCTATTGGCCCTTTCAGTTTGCTTTTAAGGTATCTGCTTGAGTTTCTCTGCGTTAAGGGCAACAAATGCTAGCTAATTTTTAAGGTGTCTTACTATCCTCACCCCTCCCTTGTTGCTCTCGGCTTTTAATTCATGTGCTCAGAGTCCAATCCCCTGTGGTGTTGTTTGTCCTGATCTAATGTTCCACATTAATGAGGAGAAACATACGATTTTTTGGTCTTTTGGGCCAGGGCTAACCTCACTCAGAATGTTCTCCAGTTCCATCATTACCAGCGAATGATAACATTTCGTTTCTTCTTCATGGCTGCATAAAATTCCCAATGTGTATAGAACCACATTTTTCTTGATCCATCATCAGTAAGTGGGGCATCTTGGCTGTTTCCATAACCTTGGGCTATTGTGATAGTGCTCTGCAGAATTTTTGTAGTTTAACTTTCTTTGTTAGTTTTCTTCACCCATATCTTATTATCATACTTTGAGGATACCTGTTCCAGATCAGGTTAAGCGATCTATTCATATTTTTCTTGGATAGTCGAGATTTTTGCCTAACATATCTTTAATTATGTATGGAATTTATTTGGGCAAATATGGTAGAACTATTTTTTATGGTTAGCTGATTTTTAATTACAATTTTCTGATTAATGTGGGATATGGGAAAGCCAATGATTTATAATTTATTTTTAATATTGGAAGTCTTTCTCAATTCTTACTCTAATATTTAGATTGCTACTCTTTTTTAGGGGAAGAAAATTGTAACTCCTCTTTACAATATTATTCTTCTTTCTTTTACTTGACTGAATTGTAAGAACATTAGATGCAAATAGTATGGCTTATCTTGATTACATTTTTACCAAAATTAACTGGTATTTTCTTCTTTTTAATTTTTTAACAGTATGTTTTAATACTTACAATCTAAAAAGAAATGACTTTACTTAAGTTTTTATTTACTTTTTACTTAGATATATTAGTTGTCCAGGGGTGTTTTATTGTGAACATTTCCATGTGTGCTTACAATTGTATCTAGATTAGATTTTCCCCCTTCATGTTTCCCCTCATCTCCCCTTGTCCCCCTGTAAAAACAATTTCAGCAGTTTCATTGTCCTATTTTCATACCAAATATACTGGAGTATATTTGACATACTCACTCTCCTTATTCCTCTCCATTTAACCCTTCCATGGAGTTTTACATTCCGGTTCCTTTCATTTTTTTAAGTGTGTATTAAGTGTTCAAATGGATTGTGTCACAGTATTTCAACTACATGCATGCATTATACTTTAATTTCAGATTTAACCTCTTCTATTACATACCTCTTTCTATTGTTGCCCGGATTCCTTATCACTCAGCAGCTTTCAGTTGCATTTTCATTCATGCACCCTCATGCATAGGATGGCAAGTATTTCATCATTATTCACTCTTATCATTCTGTTTTCCTCTTCTACCTCCCACTAGTCCCCTCAAACAAGCCCACTATTTCAGTCACATCTAATATATACACACACACAGTTACACATTTACCTTTTAGGTCTAGCTTCCACCATCTGAGGGGAACATATAAGGGCCAGCCCAGCTGGCCTCCTATTCATGGTCCTCCTGCCTTCCACGTCCTGAGAGTTCTGGGATTACAAGTATACGCACCACACCTGACTTTTTTTATTTTTTTTTAATTTTTAAATTTTACAAAGTTAAATTTCTTTCTTGTTGTGATAATTTTTGTTGCAAATTCTCTGGTGTGAGGGAAAACTTTGAATTACCTTTCCTATGTTATGGTCAGAAAAGTGTTAGATACCATCTTTGACTTGCATCTAGCTGGGCTCTTCCCCTGGGTTTTGGGGACTCCTCCTGCTTAGAAACTGTGGGTGAATAAGCACAGAGTTCATGAGCAACCCTTCATATCAGACTTCTTACTTTGCCCTAGTGGTTAGAGAAAGGCCATTTGCACATCACTGCTGATCATCTTCTGGGAAGAAAGGCATTGGCAGAATTGCCATCTTGGAAGCCTCAGGAATGAGTGCCTAACCCATGATTGAATTGGTTTTGATTGCCTTAGAGTGCCTGTTGTATTTTACAGCCAATAATATTAATTGAGAAGAGATCATAATCATTGTCACTTAATAACAGGATATATCTGAAAAGTGGGTAAATTGTTTTGTTAGGTGATTTCATTGTGTGAATAGTCAAAGTGTACTCATCCAAAAGCTTGATGACATAGCCTCCTTATGGCCTATGGTATAAGGTTTACATATATGTGGCATTAGCATTGTGCTCCTAGTGTCATGGTGACAAGGATTAAACTCAAACCACTAGAGAAAAAGTATGTTGCCAGCAAAACATGTAGTAAAACACAAGATACGAAGCTGTTTCTATGTAAACATGGCATACTGTTTGCAGTAAACTTTGTCTTAAGTAGAAAGGAGATACTGATATAATAATGATAAAAGCATAGTAGTAATATGTAAAACAATGGACATAGTCACTGTTATCAGTATTGATTACATAGCTGTACTGGTGTGTTAATAGATGTATTACCCCAGGCTTTACTACAAACATGTAAGAATGCATTGCATTTGAGTGAAGATTGGGGTACAAGTCACAAGGTGGACAGGAGAGTTCTTTCAGCTCTATGGTAATTTTATTGGAACCACACCAATATGTCTGTTTTCCATCTTGATGCAGGGCATGGATCAGATTCTAAAGATGTATATCATCTTGTTTGGGTATTTCTGAAAGTTGGGGAAGCTGAGAGTAAAGACAGGGACAATGAAGGATCACTATGGTGACCCCACCCTCCATCCTGCCCTCACACCAGAAGAAGTTATTGAAACCTAAAATGGCATCTCAGTGCAAGAGCCCCATCTAACTTCATCTGAGGTTCCCAGGCTTCCCTCTGATCATTCTTTCACCTTTAATAAATACCCCAAACCTATGCAGCCCCTTACTTCCAGTTGTAAGTAGCCTCTTGCGACAAATTTCATGATGTCTACCAAAACCAGACGGGAAAACATAGCTTCCTTCTGACCTTGAGGGAGGCCACAGTATCCCATCTACTCTTCTTGTGACACCTGTGTGGGGGAGGCTTCTAGGGAAGGCAGGTGACATCTTCAGATCACGGGGATCACTCCATCAGCCTTCTCCCTTGACCACCAGCTCTTTGCACATTTAGAGTCCGCAGATGGGCTAGCTGTCTCCTAGCACAAGTTTGAGGGAAGAGGGCCGCAGAGTTTTGAATGGGGGAAAGTTGGGCCCAAGCCTGGGGTTAGAGGTTTAAATGCATGATGTTCTGCTTGAAGGAAGGATGGTTCCAGGGAGGGGGAGATGGTGGGAAAGCACGAAGATCCCTAGTAGTACAAATCCTGCCCAGGGGAAATTCCTGAGTGCGTCTCTGGTCCTCCTGGCACTGCTGCAGCTGTGTCATCTCAGGGCTCCAAAGTTCTGGTACTTCTCTTGGCCAGTTCCCATCTCTCTCAGCCTTCTCCACCCCACACTCTGTCCTTTATTCCCTGGAGCTCCTGCATTGTTGACAGCCTCCTGAGTATTCCTTCACTCACCCAGTGGCCTGTGTCCCAGTTCTCAGCTTCCCTTGAAAGTTCTCTTCGCCCCGCTCCCACCTTCTTTCCTTTCTCTTTCCATCTGGTGCCAGTTTCGTGCACTTCTAGTTGGTATTTATCTGATATGCGAAGAATTTAAGAGGGTATTAAAAGCTTATATGTACTCATGGACTAAATAAATGTAGTTGGATTGGATTATTTTTTGTTTGTTCTTTGGAGGAGTCTGAAACTTAAAACGTTTTATATTGTACTGAATTTATTCTCATTCAAAAGATTTTTATTTCTTAAATAAATAATAGATAGTGTATGTTTTAAAACATTAACTATATTTGTAAATTTGTTCCAAGCTTTTCCATGAGGATCTATTAGAGATGGGCGGAGGCAGGAGGAAGTCAGGGAGGGAGAGAGAGAAGAATGAAAGAGGAGGGGAGAGGAGTTAAGGTTAGAGAGGGAGGGAAAGAAGGAAAGGGAGGGAGGGAAGGAAGAGGAGAAAGAGAAAGGTCAAGTCTGGATCGGATGGAAGGGCTATTTTTGATGTTAGTCCTAAAGGACAATATTACCCTTCTTAGAATGTTTCCTTTCCTTCAGCAATACTAACCCAGTCTCTTGTTTGATTTTTGGTGCTTGTAGCACTGGTGACTCCGGACACCAGGATGAATTTTGACTGTGATCCGAAGGGTGGATGATAAACTGGGGCAGAAGGCACAAGCTGGGAACAAGATGGAATTTTCCCCCTACTGTATTGGGAGGTAAGCTTTCATATATTCACTTGCCTCTTGTTTGTTGTGATTCGTTTTGGCCTGCACCAGGACCCAGACCTGACCTTTTGGAGCCCCTTTCTAGTAGAATGAGGGGGTCTCCACAAAAGCCTAAAGATCACATAGTGGCTGGCTGTGACTTTCCATTCAGGTCATTCCTGATGTGTAAGAATTGCCTTGGCCAGGTTTTTTTTGTTGTTGCTTTGTTTTGTTTTGGAAGTTGGGGTTTGAACTCAGGCTTTCATGAAGAGGCACTCTACTGCTTGAGCCATACCTCCAGGCCCACTATCCTTGGCCAGGTTGTGAGTGGTGGGCCTTACCTAGGCCCTGCTATGAAATCTCCTCACCATGGGCACTCGGGCAGGCAGTGCAGCTTCCCCAACTAATCTCTTAGACACCTGTGCCCCACCATTTGTTCTCTGACACTCTCTCAAGTCCTGCTACTCTTGTCTTTCTCAACCCAAAGGAAGAAAGAGTCCCTGGGCTGAGGCTCCAAACCAGAGTCCATTAGCAAAAGGTAACTTGAGGCTAAATTTAGCCCTGTCTGTTCTTTCCACTGTCTCTCTGTAACCAGGAAGCCTCAGTTTCTAGTGGTACTTTAGGAGCAGCTGCTGAATGGGATTTCATTCTGAAACCTCTGTCTGCCACAGACTGTTTGTTTGTGGGTGTGTTGCCTACATCATTTGTTCAGTGCAAATCCGATCATGGTCTGCATCCTACAGCCACGGGGGTCATCCCAGAAGAATAACTTTCAGCTAACACTGGACTCGAGTGCAAAACCTTCTCAGACTTCTAATCTTCCCTACCAACTAGGGCATCTGAAAAAAATTGACTACTGTTCCCACTTCACAGATGAGCAAAAACAGAAGGCACAGGAGCTTCTGGAGGTGCCAGGCCCCCACAGATTATACTTGGCAGAGCCAGTTGGAACCACAGCAGTATGCTCTAGACGTTGCCCTCATTCTCCTGCCTTATGTGATCTGCCACCCAAAACCTGGACCTGCTCAGACTAGTGGAGAATAGAGATTCCACACCCGAAAAAATTGACTGTTCCCACTTCACGAGATGAGCAAACAGAGGCACAGTAGGCTCGGCTGGGGTGCCAGGCCCCACGCATTATACTTGGCAGAGCCAGGTTGGAACACAGGCAGTATGGCTCTAGACTTAGCCCTTCATTTCCTGCCTTATGTGATCTGCCACCACAAGACCTGGACTGCTGCTCAGACTAGTGGAGAATAGAGATTCCCACACCCGACTGCCACCCACCTGGCACACAAGGGCTTCAGAACTGGCATAGGACCTGGGAGGGGACATAGCTAGTGAGATGTGGTGCTGGTAGATGTTTGTTAAAACATCTGCAATTTCCTTATGTCCACAGGGTGAAGTCCTTGTGCTTTGCATGGCATTCAAAGGCCCTTTGCAATATGGTCCTGATCTATTTTTCCACCCTTCATTTTCTCAGCTCTTCCTCCCCTCCCCACCCCCACAAATATTCTTACCACATTTACTTTAAATAAGCTGCCCAGGGTATTCTGAGACCTCCTAAACCAACCTACACACACACACACACCACACCACACACACAACACACACACACACCACACACACACACACACCACACACACACACAGATAGAGTCACTAGTCTATTTGTAAGATCCACAATTCCACAATTTTCCCTGAACACCTAGTTCATTTTCTAGGAATTTTTGCTTTTACTGCAGTTTTTGGTGGTGGTATGGGTTGCTCTCTGTCCTGCTATTTAAAGATCAAAGAATTTAATGCAATGAATTGCATACAATGTAGTCTAGAAGTCAAAAATCCAAGCCCCCAGACATTTCTAGCCAGGTGCAATTTTTTCCTTGAAAGAATATTACAAGAATACTCAAAGACACATATGAGAATGTTAATAGAACACTTTATTACCATTACCTCCTATTGTAAAACTCAGAAATGTGCCCATCAGTAGTGAAATGGCTAAATTCATAGTGTATCCCATACAGTGGGACTCCAAATGCAGGGAAAATGAACAAAACCTGCTACATTTGGGAAGCAAGGATTGAACTTCCAAAATCCTTGAAAGAGTTCATGCTATACATGGAAGAGCACACACTTTGTGGAAGCCCAAAAGCAGACAGAATCTCCTGTCAGAGCAACGGTCACTTTGAGAGGTTCTGACAGTGAGAGAGATTTCTGAATGCTGAAAGGACCCCTTGTCTTGGTCTTGACTCTGGTTGCACAGATGTTGTAGATATAAAATGGTATACACTGAGGTTCATACATTTTTTCTTTTAACTGCAACTCCAAAAATAAGAAAAAAGTCTTGACCTGGAATGTAGCTCAGTGGAATAGTGCTTGCCTGGCATATGCAAGGCCCTGGGTTCAATCCCTAGCACCAAAAAAGAAAAGAAAAAGACAACAAAAAATATCTTCTAAAGAGCCCCAAATCAGGTATAAGTAGTGGCCCTGCTGTGTTGAGCCCCATCAGCTCTCCCTTCTGTGAAAGGCCTGTCAAGCAGACTGTGAGCCTGGTCTCAGGCCTGAAACCAAGTCCATTAGATCTTCTGTAGGCCTTTTTCTTGGTTCTGCAAACATTCAAAAAATTAGACTGGTGAGGCCTGCCACCTTCTGTGCCTTCCTGTGGTCTGGTTACTAAAAGTTCCTTTTAAAGTACTCCTCCCTTGAGGTTTAAGGAAGGTGCTTCCATCCTGCCCTTTATTCCCACCCCTCCAGACTCTGCTTCTGGGCACAACCTCCTTCCACCATCTTTTTTTCTAAGGATAGGACACTGGGATGGCCCTGGGGCTCAGTGACCAGTTCTTCCAGAAATGAAGGCAACGCATGGCCTGAAATTGGCCTGGAGGGGCAGGGGCTTTGTGGATCTTCTTTCTGCCCCTCTTCTGGGAAGGGCTGTGCTACATAGTGCCCAACACACATCATGGTGTCCATTACCCTGAAGCCTTGGTTCTGAAATACACTGCATGGAAGACAAGAAGTCCCCAAATGGGATTTCCTGAGACTTTTCATTGTGTGTGTATTGAGTTCTTTCTGAAAGTGCTGACATACAGAACAAAGCCTTCTATGACTCTGGTGAATCTGAAAAATCACAATTTAGTTCAGAGTGTCTTTCCTTCTTGGGAACCCAGGGAGGCATTTGAACTTGATCTGTGAAAATTAGACAGACATGCTGGGAGGGAGGCTGTGACTTCTCTTTGGGTCTGATTGGGGTCCTGCCAACATACCAAGGGGCTTGTACTTGACCTGAAGGTTGTGATGTTAGACCCACAGTGGGTCTCAAATGAACAGGAATTGTGCACCATGAGTACACATCGTGCTTTGCATCCATGTTATTCCTAGGCTAGCTGGGCACACTCCATGAGTTGCAAATGTAACTGCAGCCAGCCTTTGCTATGCTACTAGCAAAGCTCTCTAAGAAAGCAGACTGTGTCTCCAGAAATATCTGCAGTTCCTGGTGCACTTTAGAAATAATCCTCTTGCTTCCCTCTCCACACACTAGCTGCCAATATATCCACAGCGTGACTGAGCCATTGGCCTCAAGGACTGCCTCTTTCTGGGCTGTGCTTTACCCAGCCTCTTCCTCATGCCCTTCCCACGTCCTCTGCCTGCTGCCCTGACCACAGCCCCATGTCTAGGCGCTGCCTCCTTATTCTTATCTCCTGTCGGGTTTGTAAACAGTACCCTCCAGCACCATCCCCATGCTGAGACTAAGGGCACCTAACCAATCATCAGACAGGAACCCCAGTCCAGTGGATAGGACCAGAATTAAGCCCAAGCCCTCAACAAGGTTGGGCTTCAGAGGTGGGCCCAGCTGGACCAGGCTCACCCACTTCTCCTGTATATCAGATGTGTAGTCTATGACTGGTCTTGTCACCTTCCTGAGATGCAGAGACCCTTGTTCCTTGAGGGACTGGAGGCCCAGAGCAGTTGGGTATGTCTCATGAAGCTGTTTCTAGGTGATAGGAGAGATGGGGAGGAAAGTAGGGACATTTCTCAACTGAAGGTTAATGTGGGGATGGGCAGAGATTCTGGCATTGACCCAGACCCAGGATCTTTGGTGTCTGTATACCATGTATGGCTCCATTTGGGTGTTGAAACTAACTCTGTTTTAGCAGGAAAACTGTTTGGTGCTATTTATAGATCCCAGGAAAAAAATAATGGTGGCAGAATGACAATATTTGGCTTATTGAGCCAAATAAATGTTAATTCCCCCCAAAAGTAGAAAGTTACTAATGACAACTATGTGTACTAGACTCAGGGCCATCCTGCTTGTGTGGCATGGTGTTTCTCATTTTTCATTTTCTATTAAAGAGGGAATATTATTTCATTCTCTGCCTCTAAACATGGTGTTAATGCTTTGCCAATATCCTAAAGGCACTACTAGAAGTACCATTTGGAGAAAGAGAACTCTGTAGTGTGTTATTCATTGTGAGCAGAGTTCCCTACTGTTGTCAAGCTGTTGCCAGTTCCTCCAGTGGCTGGATTTGCTATCTCCAGTGCTTGTTCTTCTTCTTTTGTTCTTGCTAGTTTTCAGCAAGGAAGTTTTTCAGCAGTGTGCTTGTCCATCATCAACAACAATCCCTTGCCCTTCAGTTACATTGATGATGGCATAAAACGAATGAACAAATGTAAAGAAATAAGACAAACCCCATGGAGGGTTGAAATCATCACTCTCATTTGTTTGGCTTGCTGTGGTCTGAGTCTGTGCATTTTCTGACTGGGATCTGATCCTCAAGGTATTGATGCACACACACACTGATTGTTTAGGGGTTTTTTACCTCCAACAAAAAATAGGTACCAGCTCACCCTGATTTCTTTCTTCTTTAACTATTTTTTAACTATTTGTGAAATTAACATTTTGTAATATAATGTCTTACATCCCATAATTGTTGGATGGGTTGTTATTTTTGGTTCCATTTTTTTTTCGTATTTTTTCTCTATTTATTCAAGTAAGTTCTTTTGAGGCCAGACCTG